TCTCTCTCTCTCTCTCTCTCTCTCTCTCTCTCTCTCTCTCTCTCTCTGTAAAACACATCGAATACGTGCGGCGCACAATTCTTCGCCTATCACACCAGAAATGAAGTCAGCAACTCAATAGAAATATATATATTTCTCGCTAGAGAGAAGCAAAGAAAATGTATGAAAAAGTAAAAACAACAACAGCGGCACAAAAAAGGTTGAATATTTGCTCGGTCGTTTTCAACGGTTTCATTCTTCTCTTTGGTATTCCAATTTGATTCGACACGAACGAACAAACGAAAGGAACAAAAAAAAATATTCCGTTGTGCCATCGCCACCGCCATCGTCGCAACTTTTTTTCTCTCTCCCATTTGGTTGGCACACACACGCAAAATATTAATAATTTTCCACTGGCTGATTTGAGAGAAAAAATCGAAAAACGAAGAAAAAAACATTCAGAAACACACCACGAGAGAGAACGCAATTTTTTTTTCGTGATATCGCCCCATTCAATCGGTGCGAGAGAAAGAAGAAAAAACGAAGAATTGGAACGATTGCAGCAGCTGCAGGTTCACGGACAAATAAACATATTTATTTTGGTTGACCATCACACGCACACATGCGATTTTTCAGGCTCCTGTTTTTCCTCAATCGCGTCATTCATCAAGCCTGCCACTAATTTCATGCCAAGGCTCATTTTTCCGACTGTCGCAATTTCTGTTTCTTTTTCATCGTTGTCATTTTCTTATTCGATCGCTCACCGTTTTTCCAAATCGGCTGTGTTGTGCATTGCAGATTTTCATGCCGCGCGCGCATCCCATTTCAGATCGAATGATTTTCGCACTCGGTAATATTTTAACGGATTATATATGGCACTGAAAGTGGCAAAGACGCACTTAATCTTGCGCCTCGGTATGAACAATAAAGTATAAGGGAAAGGAACAGAACGAATATAAAAACGTATCGTAAAACGAACAGAGAATAAACATACACTCGCTCAGTGAGTTCACCCAGACACTTCAGTTAGTAGCATTGGTATGCACAATATAAACAGCAGCTATGCGCGCACCCAACAAATTCGCCTTTCGATCGAATATGTACGTATTACTCATCACGATTTCATGAAAAGCAAAAGCGAACGGCAACAAAAGTAAGAGACATACACAGAACAGAAAGAGAGCTTGCGCAAATCCGAACACCACGTTCTATATATTTTTCCCACTGTGTCTTCTTTTCTTTTCTGTTTGCCTCGTCCTCATCGAACTTCATCTGCTTTTCTTTTGCTCTCACTGTTTTTCTCTCTGTCTGTCCCATTTGCCAATTTTAAAATTCAAGTTAGAAAGATACATTCAAATAAAGTGTATTACTTAGATGTGATAGAGACTTTTTTTTGTTCGGGTGCTCGTTCACCGTATGGGAATGCCAAGAGGTAGTTAGTTTCTTTTGTTGCGTGCAACATTTTCTGTTTTTAAATTAGATTAGGTGGAATTGGAATTTCATAATGTCATTAAATGCACCACAAATTTGAAACAAACCGAACTCTATCATCCAATTAATGGCGTTTTCTTTCTGTTCCTTTTGCAACACCGTCGATCATTGCAAGCATTTCAGTCAGCACACCGAGAAACTTCGATATCGCAGAAATTCGAAGTAATGAGCCAAAACTTGCGGTGTTTTTTTTTTGTTTCGTTCTCATCTTTGAAACGATACTCTTCTCGCGTTATTTCGCTTTTTCTCACACTCTCTCGCTATTTCGCTTGAAAACGATTCATTTTGTGTTGTTCAATGTTGCGATAAGGGAATCAATCGCGCGTCTATTGTAACGATGGATGGGCACGGATAATGTGTTTTGGGCTTGAGCGCGCGCATTCGTTTGCTCGTCTCAACTCAAAACTCCACTCAAATGCACAAGGTCACAAACATAAAACTTACCCGAAATTGTGGAAATCGTCGCGAATGGTCATTCTGTGCCTGACAATTGTTAGCGTTATTCATATTGGGTTGCTGGTCATGCTGGGGCTGATGGGGATTTTCACTGGTATTATTTATCACAGTCGGTTTCATTGTTTCATACAAAATTTCCCTTTTTTTCTCGATTTCACAAAATAACACACTCTTCTCAATGGCAAGCTAAGTTAATTTTCAGCTTTTGATTCCTGTACATAGGAATTTTCCACATACATAAACTTCACGGTTCAATTTCTCGCTGTATTATTTCGTTGATTATTGATTTGAGATTAAGTAAATCTACACGGAGAAAAAATTCGTCGATTTTGTTAATCCTTGGTTGATTCGTTTGATGGCACCTGTTTTTTCTTTCTTTATTTACTGTTGGTAGAAAAAATATATTTCGTTTTGTTTTTGCACTTAAAAGTTTGGATCTCTTGTGCGCGATATAAAATATTCTTCACACTTACGTATCACTTATTTAACTGACGAAAAAGTCGTTTGCACGTTTTGTTTTTTGTTGTTCTCACTCGCGAAACATCACACGAAATGAATGTACATGTAGCGAATGTCGAACGCACACCATCTGTCCGCAACTTGTAGGCCAGGCCTAACGTCGCACGCGCGCACACACACATACACACTTTCTCTGTCGCATCGTCTTGCTCGCACTGTGGCCGTCGCTGTTGTCGCCTCACACACCACACCGTGGACGCGGACAGGCAATGTGGGCCCCTGTGTATATGTCGCATTTTGTGTGGGAATTTCGGTTTTGGTTTTTTTTTTCCTCTTTTACATTTGCAATACAGCGCGTATTGCAGGTAATCGCCGCAATACACTCACTCACATCAATTTCAAACGTTGATCATTTTAGCAGCTAATTTACTATATTATTTCCAATTGTTCATATCGCTCGCGTTCGCTCTCACACCCATACAACACAAACCGTGTAATGAATTCCTAGAAACTTGTAGAAATAACTCGAAACGAACGACAGAGAAAAAATATTTTTTTTCTGTTTGCGAAAATTGAACAGCTAAACAGTAAATACTTAAACGATGCATCTAAGCTTTAGATCGCGCAAATTTTCAACATGACACAGCAGAATGTTCGAGACGTTCGTTTTTTGTTTTCTGGATTGCAAATTGGATTGAATGTTCTCGAAATTTCTTTTTGTTGAAAAAACAGTACTATTTGGGACATATGCTAGGTCATGTGATTTACTCGAATCTGTACTTACGTCATTTTTTGTGAGTTTTTTTGTTTTGTTTTTCAATTTACTTTCTATATAAAGTAATTTTCGGTTTTTGGACCGCTTTTTGTTGCTTGCTTTCATCGAAATTTCTTACTTTTGAGAAAATGTGTCATTTTAGCCAAAAATATTTGTCATACTGTTAATGGACGCAGACTTTCAAGCAACTGAAATTAAATTAATGAAAATTCTTGGAAAAATGAAACTGAAGTAATGAAAGATATCAAGAAATAAAGATTAAACCAAAAATCAAAGGTGAAAATAAATGAAATCTACTCTAGATATCGAAGCTTATTCCTATAATCCAAATATTTTCATCGAAAAGTATCTCGAACTTTCGATTTCTTGATGCATTGAATCACAATTACAAATCACTTGCATATGAGGCTGTGAGAATGAAAATGGCAATAAAGGATTTAACATTCTGAAGCGCATCAAGAAAAAAAAATTCGCTAAAGTGAATCATGAGTTCTGAATACGCAAAAGTGAACCATGAACATCCTATGCTGCCCATGTAAATTCATGTTTCACTTTTGCATATTCAGAACTCATGATTCATTTTTGGGATTTTTTTTTCTTGATGCGTTTCAGAATGTTTATTCCTGTATTGCCATTTTCATTCTCACAGCCTCATATATTCTTCGAACAATTCCATCATTCGATCTATAGATGGATTATAATCCAAGATTCTCGGTATTCATTTTGTTTCATAATATTCAATATATCTAAAGATAAATCTAAATTTTCGTGCGTACAAACCACCACTGGCATACAGAGAGTCAGCGAATAGTGACACAGAGTTGAAACGGCGAAACGCTTTCGGAATCGAATCCAATCGAATATTCGAATCGTTTTAAAAATATTTCGAGTCGTTACGCGGCGTTTTTCATGAATCGTGAATGCTCGAAACGGATCGAGAGTTTTGGACATATCTTATGGTTAAACACTACAAGCGTTCACTTCAATACGTAGGATTTGTGTTGAAACTATTCAATTCAACCGGCATCGGCACACGAGCACTAAATCGTTGCTCTTTCTCTATCTCATTCATCCTCTTTCTAGCTCTTACGCCAACGAGACAGAGGAACAAAAAAAAACAAACGGTAAACTTTTCATTATGACGAGATGGCAGGTTTATAATTATTTATAGCCGAATTGGGCTAGCGACTACCCAAACTAATTAGCCGATCAAATCGTAAATCAATGTTATCAGCAGCCACGTAGCAAAATGGAGCATTTTATGCAAAAAAAAAGTGAAATCAAAGAGAGCTCAATTAACATTTCGTTCTCCGTTGACTTCTGTAATCATTTTTTTCAGCATGCATACGAAGTTGTAGTAGGCCAATTATCGTCCAATATACTTAACATGTTCGTTTTGCGAGTACATTCGTATGGTTCAGTGGAATTGTAATCGATGCCACATCTCCATGATTGTTCACCGCTTTCCATTCAATTATATAGCATTGAGTGCCAAAATGCAGTTTCATCGAGATGTGATGGCAGTAAGCGAAGCAAGAGAGAGAGAGAGAGAGAGAAAAGATGAAGACCTCTGGATATAAATCATTCTCAGGTGTAATTTGAATGACACAATGAGCTTGCAATGGACGTGAATTTGTCCGAAATTTAATTAAAAAATCACAATTTCGCCTTTCTCCAAAAGCTCAAAAAGTCAACGCAACTTCTCGCCTTTTATAAAATGGAACGATTTATATATAATTAGTCTCGGAAATGAACCATGGTCAGTTCCTTCTCAACAACATCGATTCGAAAGGATTGCTCTAGACATTTCCAACTAATGCCGTCATATGTCATTGTCCGTTTACTGAGCCATTGCCATTCGAGAGATAATAACTCAATCAGCGGGGCAAATGACAAAATCAAATATCGCTCCATATTCGAAATTCCGCACATGAATCATTTGTTGGATTTGCGATGCCCACCTTGTTTGCTATCGCTGCTGTTGCCGCTGTGGCCGCTGCTACTGCTCGTCGCGTTGTTTCAAACTGTATGAAAGCATGTGCTACGTTTTGTTACATTCTAAGTTGAAAGCATTAGTTGCTATTGTTTATAGAGCCTCAATAAATTAAATGGCATCACGATTAGCTTCATACATGAAAATTACTCACGTAAATTAAACTACGGAATAGACAGAAGTATTAGAATTGATACGACGGCACACCGGTTCGGATTGGTGTGCGTATCCGTATGTTTGTGTATATGTGACGACGACGACGGTTGCCAGAATAAATTCCAACCGATGACGAATTTAGATCATTTGAATTTATTGGGGTACAATAAATGCGTCTGAAAATATTCACACAAAAAATTGCCAAGTAAGAATGAACCATTGAACGTGTCTCTTTTTTTTGCCACAAAAATGTATGGGAATTTCCAAGGGAATTTATTTGTTTTTGACACTTTTTTCTTTCCTTCACTGCGTTATAGAATTCATAAAAATTCATATTGAACATAAATAGATCATATTAGTCATCGACGCTTCATTAGATTGAACCGAAGAAAAGCGGCATGCGGCGGAAAATAGCAATAGAAATTGTTAATCACACGTATGAAGATTCTTCAAAGGATGATTCATTTCGCAATTTGATACTAGTCAATACGAATTCTGAGTTCGACAAAAAAAAACACATTAAAGTGAATAACAAGCACATAATCACATTAAACGGTACCAATTATTCTATCAACTCGAAAATATTTCGATTCTTGTGAAATTGCTTGAACTTTGATTGAATCGGTTTTACTCTGGTTGAAGTGTCTATTTAATCAATTTAATTGATTTTGACAAAAAGCCAACGGACTGACGTCAAAATTACGTTGAAATATGTAATCATAGCCTTTTGATGGCAAAGCAAAAACGTTTAATGAAACGGAATAGTACACTATTGCGATTACATGTATTCCAATGAATGCCATAATATCGAATCCATTGAAAGAGATACAATAAACCAAGTCAAGTTACGATCAAAGCCATTTGGATATTATTTTTTCATTTTGATAGTTTTCATTCAGTTTTATTACTAGCTAGGATATTAGTATACTACATACAGTATTGAAAATACTCTTGCTCATTATTTATTCGATCGTTCAAGTGAATTCACGTATTGCGTCTTATTACGCGCATTTCATCAAATTCCGTCGAATTTGCATTTTCATAATGCACATTTTTTTATTACCTCAAAAGAATTTCTTTGTTCCTTTTTATAAAAGAACAACTGAATTTTCTACGCATTTCCTGGGTCAAACGTTATCCTGACGTTTCGAGTGAAAGACATCGGCAAAAGCAGTGTTTTTTTTCTCATTTTTTGTCGACACTCTTTTTTTTGGCATTTTTCAAAAAGAGTTTAATTTCATTGATGTTCATTTAGAAAGTGTGTATTAGATCAGTGGCTATTTAAAAATTCCACCGAAAATGAAACCAACCAAAAAACAAATGAGTGAGTTTCTAATTGCTAATTATGGAATGAATACATGTACGGGTATGACACAGTTGTCACTATCAGACGTGTACAAGGTCAAAAATCCTAGAGGGGGGTAAAATTTTTTGTCAGATGGGGGTCTAAAAATTTTATCAATGGGTGTCGAAAAAAAAGTGAAGACCTAAAAAAAAGGTCCTCACTTTTGAAAATCGATTTTATCTGGTGTAAAACAGTCAAAACCGCTCGATGGGGGTCTCCATTTTTAAATCCTAGATGGGGGGTAAAACCGGAAAACCCCCCTTGCACACCTCTGGTCGCTATGCTATCTGTTGATACCTTCAAAAAAAAAACGCGCACACACACACACACACACACACACACTTTGCTGGCTTTATAAAATTACTCAGCATTTTTTGGCATGAAGGAGAATGGTCACGACTTATTTGTGTCGTTTCGCTTTATTTCGTCGATTATCAAATCTTTGGCGACGACGGAATAATTCCCACCGGGAGAAAGAGAGAGAGAGAGGGAGAGAGTGGATACGACAGAAAAAGAAAATCCTCTTGATTAGTCTATTTATAATTTGGATGCATTCCGGTGGCAAACCAAAACACATCATCATTTCAAACGAAATTAAAGATAACGACACTTTTGACACCATCAAAATCATAAATTTCCCTCGAAAATGTTGATCTTTATGATGGGTGGTTTTTTCTTTCCTGTAGTAAAATTCACACAAAGAATCAATCAATGATTTACGTTCGCTACACGCGGCCATAAGTAAACAAATCATATTCTTTAAGCAAAGCATCTACTAAACGATTCACCCGAAAAAATGCGATTTTCGGGCTGAAAAGTTCGGAGATTGGGCACAAAATGAAAATAAGCACGTATGCACCACATCGTTCCACACATATTTATAAATAACCAGCGAACACTTTCATTGACTCAATAGTGAATTGTGACTGATGAAAATGTTCTTATTTGCCAAACGATTATTCCGCAAAATTAAATTTTCAAAACACCGAAGCAAAGCAGATGAAAAAAAAGAATCGGTGTATGTGTGTACATAGTGCATATTTTCAATTGAAACCCGATTGACGCATCGTCGTGTCTGATTCGATTGGAGTTTGTTTTCATCAGCAAACAACAATGACGACATATTCAGAAGAAGAACGAAAAAAAGCAACTGTGTTCCCTACATCTGACCGAATCAATATGACGACACAAAGCACTCGGCTGCACACATACAGTGAAAGAACACGAAATAAAGAAGAAAAAAAATGAACGATACACAACGAATTCGAGAGTGTGTTACGCATTCATTGCGAATAAATGTCGTAGATTGCCGCAGAAGAGTGTCGCCGTATCAGGGTTTTTGTTTGTTATTTAGGTTAAGAGGAAATATAATTTTTGTTTTTGGCGAGAGATCACACTTGCTCCTTCTTGTCTCTCTTTCTATGTGTATGTCGTTTTTATTTTATTTCTTCTTTTTTCACGTTCGCGGTTCGCTGAAAAAAGAATTAATGCAGTGTCATATGTGCAGGCGCTATATGTGTAGGTCGATTGTATGTCGTGTGTGTGTGTGTGTGTGTGTGTGTGTTGGTATTAAGCACTCGATACGTTCGTATACTTTCTTTAAATGGCCTTCGTATTTGCTCGATGGTTCCGTATTTCCAGAGCACATGTCTGCGTTCATGATGATTCATTGCCTTTGCACTGTCTCTCTCTCCATATAGTCCATGTTTACCATTAAAACTGTCGCACTACCGCTCTTTTTTTGCTTCCATGTGTGTCGAAACGAAGCGAAGAGAGACTTTTCGTCTTATTTGGAAGAATATTTACGTATTGCGTAGTCGTCATTTCTCTGGCCAAAATGACGACATCAACCAATTTTTGGACACCAAATTCCGATGATGCAAAAACAAACAAAGCATCCAAAGTTTCCGCTAATACGGACGCGCTAGCTCGCTCGCTAGCAAAACGCAACACACATCTCCGTTCGCCTTCTAAGACCAACATTCACTCAATTTTAATATCTTCGATCGGTGTGTGGGCTCAACTTTTGGCGTTGATTTCTAATTTGTTTGTCATAATCGCGCCGCTTTTATATCAAAGACCGTTCGATCTGAATGTGTGTGCTGCTGCTGCTGCCTCTGTTGTTGTTGTTTTTTTTCTACGTTCATATTACCACTTATGGTCAGGCTTGTGTATGCAGCACTCTTTACTATCCGATTTAATCGATTCAACTCTCCCATTCAAATGCATATCTATTTTTAGAATATCGACGAATCACTGATTAAAAATGCCATTTTCAATTCAAGTCAATGTTATCAACATTGTCTCTATGTACAGTGTACACGTACACGATATGTACCTAGAAGATTTTTCTCTATTTCATGAAGAATGTGCGGCTTATGTTTCGTTTTTCCCTTTTAGTTTTTTTTTACTTTCATTTGAATGGGGGAACAAACGGTTTCGAAGTGAAATGAATTAATACGAACCATTCGTAGCAACAATTTGCTGCTCTAATCTATCGATTGCTCAATTTTTGATGTTTATGTTGATTTTCCTTTTGGAAATTGATTTAATTTGAACTTGAATGGAGTTTTCAATCACTAAACTTTTTCAAGTTCCCAATTATTTCTTTGAACTTCAAAATTTTCAACCAATTATAATAATTGGTAACATAAGCCTAAATTACAGTTTTTTTTTCGCATGGCCGGGCTAGGTACCTAAAAATCAATGCAATTTTTTTTTCGCATGGCGAACTGTAAATGAGGCAATAGACATAATTATGTCTATGCAATTGATTGTTTCATGGGGAACATTCTTCGGCACTTACTTCCATTGAAGAAACAAATAAACAACGGTTTTTTTCAGTTTTCGTCATTTTTATTTTGAATCATTCTGGATTTTACTATTAGTTGACTATAAAGATTTTATGATTTATATTTTACGATTTGTTTTTTTTTTGGTGAGATGAGAGTGGAGTTTTTGACTGTAGCAAATGATACTCTTCGATAGGTAAGAATATATTCTATATAATAGTGTATAGATTTTCTTGAAGCATAGTCTTTAAATTTCGTCGCATTTTCTGTATTTTGTGTATTCAAAGCGATGCAAATATTCCCCATTACAAAGCGAAGCATCAGAAATGTACAAAATTACCCGTAAGTCAAGTAAACCACTGATTTGATGTTGCTCTGCTAATGATGTGTGCTATGCAAATGTCTATTTTTAACACCATGAATTGACTCTGAAGACTCGCATTTTTTTCAGGTAAAAACAAAATGCGATGAATCATGACGTGCACCTTTCTTTGTTGATTGAATTCTGTTTGAACCATATTTGGTTGACGATTTCAAATCAAAACTGAAAAAGGTCCGTTTCGTCAAGACATCATTGATTGGTTCATTTGAACTCTTTTGTTACAAACAGAATTCATTCGTGTCAATCATTTTGCGATATTCTTATTGTTTTCTGTTCTGTGCCTTTGAATGGGGATGATGTAAAGCCTTAAGAAACAAAAATGACAGACTTTGGACTTACACATAGCTAAGAACCGAGAAATTCTACGAAGAAGCGTGTTGATCGAATCATTTTTTTTTTGAATCAATTCAACTGAATGTTTTTTTAAGGAATTCAATTAAAATTCATTTGTGAATAAATAATATAAATTTATTTTTTTTAAATTGGACATGATTAAAAGTTGAAGCAATAAATAGGTGAATGAATCGATTGAAAATTAAATGATAAATTTAAAATCAAAATTGAAATGGTCCCAATGATGAATTTATGCTTCAACGAATTTATTCAAAATCTTCGGTGCTATGATCACGAGTGTCGAAATTGAGTCGAACGAAAGGTCCCACAGTAAAACTCCTTAGATTTGTTTTTCGAATGGCTTCCGATGGATTCGTAACGAAGTGCACAGTTTTGGCGAACATTTCTCGAACACCAAGCCAAATGGTGGAAATTCCATTTTCGATCGATTTTATTGACATACCGAGCACACTTTCACCATCATTGTTTCGAATGGTCATGCTTGCACCGTTTGTGATGAGCGTTTCGGTGACCTTTGCATTTTCTGGAGAAAGAGAAAATTTAATTGAAAATCACTCCAGTCAATGATTATTCGGAAATTCCGAAACGGAATATACCTTTTTCAAATGCAACATGAAGCGGTGTTGTTCCGTCTTTTGCAGCTATATTTACATCAGCTTTATTATCAATCAGCAGCTTCACCATGTTTGGATGACCTGCATGAATTATTGAAAACCAGTCTTATTGCTTTTTCAAAAGTGTTTTTCTTTGAATTCTTCAACTTGGTTTCCGTTTTTAATTGAATTAGTTCATACCTTCAGAAGCAGATCGATGAAGTGGGGTAAAGCCTTTGTGATCTTGTGAATTGACATTTGCACCACTGTCAAGAAGAACTTGTGCTGTCTTTTCTTTACCTATTAAAATTGTATAATTCAAAAGTTTTTTTTAGATTTTTTTAAGAACGTCAAATCGATCACATTTTTCTATGGTAGAAATTCCATAACTATAGAAATACTCCCTGAAAATCTCTTTAATAATTCCCCTTTGAAATATCCCTTTGCAAACTTACCTTTCTCAGCAGCTTTATGAAGTGAGGTTGCTCCATCATTACTAATGCTATGAACTGATGTACCCAAATCGAGTAGCTTTTTCACCATGTCATGATCGCCTAAAATAATGATTTCAACTGTAAATATCCTATTTTTCCAAACCTTGATAAGATTGAGGAATCATTTAAAAATAAACGGTGAACTGCTCATAAGTACCAAGAAGTATTGAATAAGAAGTATATATACATATAAGAAGCGGTATTTTGTGTAGAATATCCAACACTTCAAACACTTTAATACTCATATTTTGAAAAAAAAAAATCAATTTATCACTTTCGTTCATTGAACTTAGATAGAAAACACTTTACCTTCTCCGGCGGCCATATGCAGAGCCGTTTCATTATTATCTATATCATTGGAGCTAAAAAAAAGAGAAGAAAAATAATGTAACTTCAATGCATCATGTACGGCGATTGCGGAATCGTTCGAAAATAAACGGTGAACTGTTCATAAGTATCAATGATTCATCCAATCGCAGCAGTGAAAAAAGCAATTTTCTCATCGGAAAAGTACAAAATATATTTTTCAAGATCTGATCCGCTTATTCACTTACAATTCAAGAGGAACTGAAAACAGAAGAAAAAAAATTATCCAATTAATAATATGACATAAGAGAACGCTGCATACAAATGTGTAAGTACCTGCGATAACTGCACTCAAACACACGGTCAATATGATGAATGATTTCATTGTGAAAATGTCGATTTAAACTTTCTTCGTTTGATGTTACCAATTTGGTGCTCAAAATATGACTGAATCAATTTTTCTTCGCAAAAATTGTATTACTTCAATGACGTCGCCAGTTCAGTGGCCAGGTAAAGTGGCGAAGTTAGTCATTAGGAAACTGCCAAAATATGTAGAAGGTGCAACAGAAAGAAAAACGGTAAATAAAGGCATGAAATAGCTAGAAAAAGTGTCAATTGGAAACTAAAATTGCGATTTGCCCTAAAATTGCAATGCATTGCAATGACCATTAGCAGAGAAAGTCATTTGAAAAACTGGAACAAAAAATGACAAATATTTTGAATTCTTCTCTTTGCTCAATTTAACACGTTTCGACTTTTCCTCCCACAAATTTCAACAATTGAAATATGGAACATGCTTTGGTTCATGCGAATATGAATCATGAGAAGCTGTAATGCACATATGCCAATACCAATCATAATTGGTGCGAAACAGACACTAGCACCATCGCCGTCTTTATGGCTCCAGCCGGCTGTCTATATTCTAATTGCTTATTACTTTTCGTTCTTTGTTCTTCAACAATTGCAATGAAATGGAGGAAAGTTGTTTTAAGTGGCTTTATGGAACTTGATTCGACTTTGCGAAATCTTCATGTAAAGACGGCACTTGACTTTAAATTCGCAGTGCAATGGATTGGATATGGAGCAATTTGCAATACAATTGTACCAGATCAAGTGATTTTTTTTGACTTAATCGTTGAGCGAAAACATACGCATAAGTGGTACGGGTAAGTAGTCGATATAGAGAAAGTATATTAGATTTTATCCCATTGATTTTATTTTCAATTCATAAAATATGAACTCATCTTGTTTTGGTTCAAATACCATTGTTTTGTGAAAATGAACTATTTTCTAAGTCAGTACTTGGAGAATAATGATCAAAACTAATAAATTGTGATTGGCTTAACTCATCTGCCGCTCGTCGAATAATTCTCAAAATAAAACTCAAATTTTTTTAACTTTTCAATTTAAAAAAAAAAACTTATTAATTTGGTAATTTGGTTTCACGGATTTTTTGAAATGTAGAATAAATTTTTTGCAAAAATATTGTTCGTCGATAATCAGATATTCTTTTCAATAAACAGATAAATGACGAAATCACTAAAGTCCCGTCTCTATATTGTCATTGTTTTCATTCACGCATTTTCATTTTAATAAAATTGTCCGAAAATCTATTCTTCTTCATTTCTTCTCTAAAAATAATCAAAGCGAAGGTATTTGATCATATTTCACGGTGAATTATAATTAAAAGATTCTTTCAAAGTATGAAAATCAGTTCAATTCCCCATGTAGTATATCTATTCAAGTTATTTTTTTCCTCTGGCAATCTCGTTGTTTCTTTCATTCATGCAGAAAAGAAATTGCAACTCAAATTCAATTCAAATCGACTTTGATGAGTGACACCTAGCGCCATCTTTCAAATCAGCCTCACATCTCAGTACTGTTTACTTTAACACATCGTCTCATGTACCCTTCTTCTTCTTCTTCTTCTTTTTCCCCCCGAACAATTTAGCACTTTCAGCTGTCAAAATTCATTATGCGGTCCGAGTAATACAAATACGTGTTCTTTCAAAATAAATTTCTAAACTAATTTAATAATTCTTTTTTTTTGTTGATCGTTTCTACAAGTTGTGTGTATGAACAAACGGTGCCCGTTCATTCAATAATATAAATAGCGTGCTGCGGATTTCGGTTGAATTGTATTGACAAAGTGGTATTGTTTGATTTTTAGTGAAAAATGTCGTCAAAATCGGGGAATAAAAAATTCAAATGGGCTCTTGATTTCAATACAAGGTAAATGTGAATTCGATGTGTTCGATCACATTTCTGTCGCAATGTCTTCAATTAAAAGTTTGTTCCAATTAAATGGATGTCAATTGTTTGTGGATTTTTTTTTTACGTTTAGAAGTCGGAATAATGATTTGCCAACACCGCCTGGATTCAATCCATCAGTGGGACAGAGTCACATGGAAGTCACGATGGACACCGACCAAAGTCATTTAATTCTCAAGAAATCATGGGACATTGCCCTAGGCCCGATCAAACAAGTAAGGGCGAATAAATTCCAATTCAATTCACACAACAGCACCAAGACATTAGATTAATGACCGATTTTCCCATACTTTTTTCTAGGTACCAATGAACTTACTCATTATGTACATGTCTGGCAATTCGATTTCGATATTCCCCATCATGATGGTCGGTATGATGTTGGTGCGTCCAATAAAGGCCATCATTGCAACACAGGCCACATTCAAAGTGATCGAAGGAACACAGGCAGCCGGACAAAAAATAGTGTATTTCTTAGGGAACTTAGCGAATGTTGCGTTAGCTGTATACAAATGCCATAGTATGGGGCTACTGCCGACGCATGCATCCGATTGGCTGGCATTCGTGGAGCCACAATCAAGGCTGGAGTATTCGGACGGTGGCATTTCACTAATATAGAAAAAAAAACAAAAAACCAAAAAAAAAAACTGCATTTCGAGCAGTCGGCCGAATGTGTTTGGGTCGAGGCAAAGCGAACGATTGTGCGTGTTTGTGTCATTCATAGCCATTTCTGAGTGATTAGATAGACAATGCGCATGGATTACCATTTAAAATTCTACATTTAAGGTTGTTTCTACAGCAAAGAAAAAAAACAAAAACACAAAATTCAGTCATCAGTTCAGTTTTGGGGGAGAGAAACCCGAATTCTTTTTAACAGGCATTTTCTTTCTTTCTTTTCTTTTCTTTTCGTTCATGAATTCAAAACAAAAACACAATTTTTGGAAAAATCAAATAAAAAACGAAACAAAAACCACAACATATTTATATGGGATAATAAGAAAATGCGCATTTTTGATTATTTAACTCTAATTTTATTGCAATTTGTTGCAACAACAGTGGCATAAGTCTACAATTCCTTAGAAAAACATTGGATGCTTATAAAACAGTTGATATCATTCTTCTTGTTTGGGCTTATCGCAGCAACGACAGCGGCGGCGACAACGGTGGCGTCAAATCATTTCTTTCGGTATTGATCCAAAAACTCTACAATTCGTGCATACACACGTGATGGATCGTCTACTTTTGGAATCTGTTGAGAGAGAAACAATGATTTTGCATTGAAATCGAAATCGCTTGAAAGATTTGTATTGCTGATAAGACACAAGTTGATGTTGGCCCTTGATGCAATTCATTCCACTTACCTCATAGTTTTGCGCTGCATATGCACCAGCATAGAACCCGGTTCCAAACGTAAACTGAGGATTTGAAGAAAAATGTTCAATATAAATTATGACGAAACTACGAACGTCGAATCGATGAATGAAAAAACATTCGGCCATGAATATACTTACCAAAAACTTCAACATCTCCCCGCCGATATTGAATTGAGTATTTTGGCACGACAATAGCTCAGCTGTTACGATTTTTTTCTTGTTACTTTTACGAAATCGCTGATTTGATAGAAATCAGAATTTGTTGTTCCAACAATACGTATATGAATACACACGTTGTCTTTGTGTTGGTTCATCAGTGCTCAGCTGTCATTCGGTGTACCAGTGCTGCTGTATCGATTTATTGAAGCAAATGCAGATTCATTCGTATGTTTTTGTGATGAATGAACCAATACAGCAGTCTTATAGTCAACACAAAAGCAGAAAACAACGCAATTGGTATTCTTTTGTCTAGATTAGTCAATTTTATTCGGAAAATAAAAAGGATAAATGATAAGTTTTCTTGGAAGTTTTTATGTCGTTGATATTGTTCTTTCATTGTTCCATATCAAATCTTTTGGCGCACAAAATTGAACGCATGACATTTGTTTCTTTGTTGGTTATGTCTTCCATTGATGTTTCAAAATAAAGAGTTGTTTTGATTTCAGTTGAGATTTTCGGCGTGTTTTTTGTTCGAAAACATCTGCCCAAATTCCATATACAAATTATGTAGATCGGCGGATCTAAATCAAATTTACTTTACGTTTTGGAATTAATTTCGAAATTGGCGTTTATTTTTTTTATTGTTATATTTTTGTTATTATGTTGATAAGACTAAATTTACTGCGGAATTGTCAGAGTTTGAGTGTTAAATGGCCTGTAGAATTGTTGGAGTCAGGGAAATTGCGACGGCATTGCTTGCGCTATTGTAGTGATATCAAACGGAATGAGGAACTTTTGTTTAGTAGCCAAAGTGCTGGCATTCCATCCGCATTAAAAATTAGGCAAACCATTAAAAATGGCTTCTACGACTTTGTCGATGGATTCACATGCATTCAGACGTCATGTCCAACATGCCTGCCGAAGCCAGAGAAAAATTCAGACGAAAAACCGGCAGAACAAACGAAAAATAACGAGAAATGCTTGTTCATCAATAAAACGACTGGTAAGGAAAGCAAAACGAATTTCGAGCAAACATGTTATATTTTCATGTGATTCAAATCCACTGATTGAATTTCTCATATTCCAATTCCAGGTGATGTAGTGTGTTCAAAGTGTCAACACATCTTTAGTTTTAGTACATTCGAAAAGTTTTTTGCAAAATCGCACCCTTCAACGTCCGATATGGAGCGTGCCCGTGATTTGTTCATGAGATCAAAACCAAAGCCAATCATTTTAACGGCTGACGCGATTCAAAAGGGAGCTGTGCCAGTCAATGAGGTGCCAACTAATGAGCTGTACGAAATTATACATTTTTTAGGTTTGCAAAAGATTGAACCGAGCATCTTCCAAGGGATACACGCTTTTTGCCATATTAAACGAAAAACATTGTACTTCCCAATGCTGGACGTCGAATCGAATATTGTTGGATACAAAAAATTGTCACGTCGGGACGATGGCAAAATGAGCGAAACAACCGTACCCGAACAAAATAGCTTTGGAGCTGTGATATTTTCGCCGATGGTTAAACGCGGATTTAGAGATCAACGAACTGCCATTCTAGTTGTAAATATGCTCGATGCAATCGCCTTACGCATGGAAAAGAATAATGGTTAGTAGAAGGATCGAAAAGGGAATTGAACAAAAAAATGAAACAATCAATTCGAAACGAAGAAAAAACTCCTTTCAGTGGATCAAATTTAGATTTTTCTCAAGTCAATGCGGTAAAATTTTCTTATTGGTTACAATTCCAATAATTAAAATTTAAAATTTATGGCGTTTATTCTCATAATTATGAGACTTAAGTTTTGATTCGAAATATTCTACATAAATTTATTTTCCTTTTCTTAACAACCAAAGAAAAATCCTTCTCTTATTAATTTCCATTTCATTTTTCCAGTGACAATAATTTGCCTTCCGTATGGGTTCAAAGCGTTGCCACAGGAGTGCCTGCCATTGTTGGAATCGTATCAAAAGTTGATATTGTGGTTTGATTACAATTCCGTTGGATGGGATATGGCAAAAATGTTTGCCAAAAAACTTGATGAGAAGCGTTGTCATTTCATTCGGCCGACTGAAAGTAGCCCGACGCCATACACTGCCATTCAGCTATCGATACCGGCCAAGACCATTTTAGCGGGTGCACAACCAATTTTGCACAAGGCAGTCACAACATTTCGATCACTTCGCCAGGATGTGCTCAGTGATCTACAGAACATTGATAAAGTGCAGGGTATCAAATGGACGAGATATCCAGCGTTAAATAAATACCTCAAAGGCCATCGACGCGGTGAACTGACCGTTTTAACGGGGCCTACTGGTTGTGGTAAAACAACTTTCATGGCCGAGTATTCACTTGATCTGGCTATGCAGGGAGTCAATACACTGTGGGGATCATTTGAAATACGAAACACACTTCTGGCCCGAACATTGCTACAACAAATGGCACGCAAACCGCTCGACGAACATCTTGAGGAGTTTGACACATGGGCCAATACATTCGAACAACTTCCTATGTACTTTATGACCTTCTATGGGCAACAACCACTCAAAGTCGTTATGGAGGTAAATGTCACACACTCCGAAATCAATTTCTTTCGACGATTCTAATTTTTATGGCTCCAAATCACTATTCACTAATTCTCTGTGTTTTCAAATCAGGCAATCGAACATTCACAATACGTTCACGATATACATCACGTAATCATCGACAATTTACAATTCATGATGGGCACCAGCAATGATCCACGCACCTTTGACAAGTATTGGAAACAGGACGAAATTATCTCCTCGTTTCGTACATTTGCCACACGTAGAAATTGCCATGTAACACTTGTTATTCATCCACGGAAGGTGAGTCATGGAGTCCAAAATGAGGAGTAATTCTTAACCCTCTAATGCATTAATTTTTCCGAGGGCTAGGAGTACTGGTACTTGGTTGATTTTTGGCCATAGATAGTCAGGAAATGCGATTGACATAAATCAGAGAACAGTCAAATCCATTGTTTAAAAGTGTCAAAAATGTGTCTAATTTGAATTTCGAATAATTTGTTTTGTCAAATTTTTGTTTTTGCACACATTTTTGTTTATAACTTTACAATCACACTACATAGACAAATATTGCAAACGACAAAAATAAAGAAAAAACATTGACGAAAAAAAATTTCCCTTGAAGCAATGTGATCCGATGTACGGTTAACGTTCTATAGGCGTTCAATTGTTGCCCGTCTAGAGGCGGTTGTATGCATTAATTTATTTCGAAACTATTTGTAATTCAAAAAGAAGTTTGAATCAAGTAAAAATCACAAAACTCGGAGAAACAAATGTTTGATCCAAAAATGTTCGGTAATCCAATTTTCGTATAAAGACATTTTTCACACTGATTTTCGTTTTTTTTTCGCAACAGGAACGTAGTGACGAAGACCTAACGATCAATTCGATCTTTGGTAGTGCGAAGGCGACCCAGGAAGCGGACAATGTGCTCATCATCCAAGACAAGCGGTTGATTTCAATCAAGGGGAAAAAGTATTTACAGATCGCAAAAAATCGTCACAGTGGCGATTTGGGCATAATGATGCTAGATTTCGACCGAGATGCTCTTAGCTACGCACCGAAGAAATGAGGACAACAACAGAAATTAATCAGAATTTACGACAATGGCATTTATATTACAACTAGCGATCGACCGCTTGAAACCAGACTGTACAAAATTACTTACGCAACGCCGTAGCCATGCCGGCGCAATGGGTGCATTGCACCCTCCAAAAATTTCAAAGGTGCAACAAAATCGGATGCAAAATCGGGTTTCAAAGGTGCAACAAAACAAAAATTTCGATTTTGCACCCTCCAATTTTTTTTCTGGCTACGGCGCTGTACTTACGGCTCAATTAATTTCATTGAGTCGTAATATACTTGCATTTATAATTTTTCTTTTCCCTCAAATTGCATATAAACGAACGTTATCTACATAAAAAGATCTTTAATAAAACACAGAAAAAAATACAATCTCAACCGTGAGTAGGGTTATTGAAATCCAAACAAGTTTGTTTTCATTTTGCTCATTTCTTCAAATGCTTTGGACAGCACATTTTTGTCGGTGCGGAAAAAATGTAAACAGGGTCTCCACGCTATACAAAATGCTACGCATGTCACAGTTATTCGCTCTGTCAGTTTTCTGTTCAGTTGAGATCCACGGCGTTCAATATTCGTGCGGTGTGTGTTCACATGGCACACGTTTTTTTTTTCTTCTTCTTTTCAATGGATTTTACGCAATAGTTTTTGAGTATACGGTGATACGTAGTGAGACTCGCACAACATAGAACCTTACACATGTGTATGCGAAACGTTATAGTGATATATATGTGCAGAGTACGCGAGCGGCGACATAAGGCAATAGCAGCAGCGGCAGTACTGCCATACGGAGTGAGTTTTTTTTTTGGTTTGAAGAGACGGAATATTGTTCGCATCTCTCTGAGGGCAATACAGTCACGTCGTTTGTGTTTTATCGCATCAATTCACGTGTAGTCTTCGAGAACGAGAAACGCACAATATCACTGGTGCCCACAAACAATCAAACATAATGTGACACAAAGAAAAGGAAAGTGAAGTGTATGAATTTCGATTTTTGAAAATTTCCTTGCATGCAAAAAACCGAAAGCCGAACAGAGTATCCACGAAACCAAATATTCATTGTGTGTAGAATAAAATAATCGAAATTGGAAGGCATGGCGAAATGCTGATGTTTTGTTGCGCAATGTTTGGTCGTGTTAACATTTGAAATCGTGTTTTTTTTGTTGTTCAAAAAATAATTGTGCAAAACGAGAAGGAAAACAACTGCAAATTTGTGATGTTAATTAACATTTGTCCAATTGACGAGGAAGTGAAAATAATTTTGGACGAATTTCGTTTTTTGCGTGACGATGCATTACCACTTTTCTGATTAATTCGAGAAACAGCGGCTTTATTCGGTAATGACGAACATTTATTGAAAATAATTGTGACAAGCGACAAAATTTACAAGAAAAAAGCAGAAAAAATAGCAAACACAACAAAAATGGTGAACATGCCGTTAAATGTGTCGGCATTTCCAATGGATGAACTCGGTTTGGAAACTGACATCAATCAGAATATCAATCAGGAATACTACGAATGGCTACTGAAACAGCATAACTACTTTCCGGATTGTGCATTTCACAAGGTAATTCGATTTCGATGTTTGTTATTTACATTAGCCGGTTTTATCATTGAGTGCATTTGCAATAAGGATGAATTTCGTTCAACGGTGGTGATAATGTTGTCGACGCACACCGGTGTGTCTCAGTGCAGGGGGTTACTGTGCAACCGAAGAGAGACGCAAATAGCGATGCATTATGAACTAGCAGACAAGTGTTAGAATTTCATAACATTTTGCCGAAATTGCATGTTACGGACCTCTATTAAAATTTTCCTCATCTCTCTCCTACTGCTTCTTCTTCTTCTTCGTTCTTTTTCCATCTTGACTGTTCGTTCCGTTGTCGCGCTGCTCGGCACACACATTGTCTGAATCTATATTGCGCTCAATTTTTGGTTTGTTATTTTTTTTTCCTTCCTACTTTGCTTTCTACGCGTATTCTCCACTATGGTCCGCTGCGTAGCGCATACACGTGACATTTCGATGGCAAAGCATGTGTTTGCTTATTCGAAGAGAGCGACTACGTCGCTGTTGTCTCTCACCTACTCACTCTCTCTCTCTCTTCGCACCAATACACACGCAACATTTGAAATGTCATGTGCGATCGTTGCGGCATATTACTCTTTCACTCTCTGTTGTTCTCTCACACACATACATCCACACAAAAGACAGCTGTAAAAAACGGTGAATCCGTTCGAACGGACTCAAGACGTTTTGAGATCGTCAACACATGGAGTGAGGGAGATAGTTCGAAAACAAAGCGAAAAATCCAAATAGCATTCCAATACGATACAAATTATCAGGGAAAAAAGGGAAGAAGAAAAGAAAAACGTAACGAATCACAACAACGACGTCGATGACGACGACGACGACAAAGCAATATATTCAGTTTGGACCTGTGTGTGCGAGTCTCGCACTGCGAGAATGCCACTTGCTGTTGAATCGACGAAATTAATACACACATTCATGATGATTCTTTTTTGAATCATTTTGACAGTATACAGTTTTGTGTTGGCGAACAATAGTGAAAACAAAGCAACAGCTCTCTCATCTCACTTCCGATTTCACATTCAATGGTCAGCTAAATTTGTTGCAATTGAATGTGAAGCTTTCAGCTACGAACCAAACGAAAAAATTCAAAAAAATTTTTTGTGAATTATTTTGCGAAGGTCTAACTGTTGTTGTTACGTTTAGCCTACGTGTATTTAATCAATCGCATCGCAGATTTTTGTGTGAACACTTATTATGCTCACGTCACCGTCGGTCGCTATACTTTTGTGATGCAATCATATTTTGTGGTGCGATTGATGTGTTAAATCGTTCATTTCATCACATATCAAGCGAGGTACGTATTCACAAGGGTCATTTGCCACCGAGAAAAGATCCAACCAAATTCGGTCATTGTGTGTGATCTGTTGTATGGTGATTGCGTCGTTCGATTTCAACCAACTAATGGGTGCCTTTTAAATGTTCCAATTCGATTTTGATTTGCACACCAAAATTGGTGTGACCATGAAATTTTGATTAATTTTTGATGATTTTATCACTTGTCATATTCGGTGAGTCCAGTTTCGTGCTGTGAATTGGTCGTTTTTGTTGTACAGTTGGGCAATTTTCAACAACTCAGACATAACCTCAAACAAGTGTATACGTATTATTATTGTGTGTAATGCAATTGTTATTGCTTAGCATTGATGCTTTTTCTCTGAGTTGCACATCGTAAATTGACTGAGTTTTTCTGTTCATTTCAGGAAAAATTTGAAGATACAATCAAAATGGAGCATAGTTATACGAGAGATTGGAAGCCATCGGCAAATTGTGAAGTCATGGCAACTCGTACCATTTTGGTTGAACGACCACCACTCTGTCCGTCTTGCCATCAACTACCCCCGAATCACGATGAAAAAGTTGATACACCGGAAGCATACAACATACCAATCCCACCATACAATGAGGAGGCGGGGCGACGAGCACTTAATGCCACCGAAGACATGATCAAATTTTGTCACAATCGTAACTCGGACAACGATGACTGGACACAGAGCATACAAAAGCACAATTGGACAGGTACGGGTGTTTTCTTCATTTTCTTGTTCAACGTTTTTTAAATGAATTTTTAAAACTCTAGTCGATACTTGATCTACAATTAAGCTTTTATTCTGTGTTGTTCCTTTTTTATTCGATTTTTAATTGAATTTTTTCTCACATTTTTTTTTTTCGATGCAGAACAACAACTGGATTTGTTTGAACGCGTTGAACGCATTTTGGATATGGATCAATTGGGACGATTGGCCGTGTCTGGTTTATCAAATGAGTGCCTCCGTCGAAATGCAATTATTGAAAAATCCGTGTCACGAATGCGAGCTGCACTGGCAGCTGTGCATTGGGAACCACGGTTGACATCATGGCTTCATGGTTTGCTTATGACAACACTACCACCAAAATACATGGTCAGCTATATTGACATTCTGCAAACGCTTAAACGCAAAATACCCACATTAGTTGATAAGATGCTTTACCACAAACCAATCGAAATGCATAAGGATTATATGAGTGCAATCATGAAACGAGCATGGGAACCAACGATGGTTCCAAAAACACGTACACTTCCTAGTAATCCCGTTATTATTGTTGTGTCGTCGACCATTTGCGCAGCTAATACTTCGTCACGGGAAAAACGATGGCTCGAACTACTTGGAACACTTACTGCGGTTGAAACAATTACGGTGAATTTACAGGTAGGGATTTTCAAACGATTCTCATCCGAAGTTTTTTTTCTTCAGATTTTCTTTATTGGATTTTCAATCAAATCATTTAAACACGGTTTCTTTCATACAGGCCATTGACCCCCAAAAGCCCATCGAACAAGTGACAGAGCATTTGGTTGCAATGACCCGTGCCAAAATTCAAGAGGTTCGCAATCAAACACCAAACCGGCATGTTATTTTGGCCGGATTCAATGCGGGCGCAGCCATTGCATTGCAAGTGGCACTGGTCGAATCGGTCAATTCGATCGTTTGTTTAGGCTTTGCATTTAACACATTGCACGGTGTACGTGGAATGCCAGACGATAAAGCCCTTGAACTAACCACACCGATTTTGTTTGTCATCGGTCAAAATGCACAAAGATCTAGGTGAGTGTGTTCTTTTCTTGGAATGCGTAATCTTGATGAATGAGTGGTTTCTGTTAGATTTTTCTAATTTCGTCAGATTTTCTGGAGAACAAAAAACAAAATTTCTTCCCATACGTGTGCATCCTAGTCAATTAATTTCTCTGCAAAATGATTTTTTAAATGCAATTTATGTTTGTATTTCAGTCAAGAGGAAATTGAATCGTTGCGCGAAAAAATGTCCGCTCAAACATTGCTGGTGATCGTTGGTTCATCGGATGATTCGTTGCGAGTAAAAAGGCTAAACCGTTCCATGGAAGGTGTTTCACAATCAATGATCGATAACATGATTATGGTAAGATCTCCAACAATTACCTATTGTGAAATTTCTCTCTTATCAAGGTTTGAAAATTCCTCAAGGCCAGAGAGATGAAGCTCAATTCATCATAAATTTTGTTGACCAACTAAATCTAAATTGCCAAAAACTTTTTCGTTCTATCTCAAACAGGATGAAATTCAAGAGTTTGCCACGAGTTGTATATTGAATCCACCTGGGCCACGGAAGCTTAAGCAATTGAATGGATGTCGAAAAGTGACAAAACAACGTGCGACACATCTTGAACATGGTCCCACGGCGAAACGTGCACGATTGAATGGAAATCAAAGAGCCAAGCTGCTCGGCAGACCGCCAATAATCAAAACCAAAAATGGAATACAAAATGGAAATTCACAAACCAATGAAACGGATGATGATGAATCATTGCAATTGGCCTTCAAAAGTGTTTTACCCACGGATATTGTGCAAAATGATGATGTTGTCGAAGACAAATCAAATGGAACGCATGATGTGCGTACGACGCCGAATGGTTCGCCGAGCATAAAACAAAAAGTGAAATATATTCCACCGAATCAATTTTTGCACATCAAACCGCCGCCCTTGAACACACAGAAAATTTACGTGAAACAACAGAATGGTAACCAATCGTACACACTTGGTGTGAAAAATATCGGCACAACTGACGTGTCGCCAACACCGGTTGTGCACAATAAATTGGTCAGCCCGAAAAACAAAGAACAAACCACATCATTAGCATCATCATCACCGCAGAAAAAAACCAATGTAGAATATTCAAATGGTCAAGACAGGTCCATCAAGGATATCGACATTTTTGATATTCCCATTTTGTTTGCCGACAAAGATGGCAACATCATTGATGAAAATCATACCGGCAACAGCGACACACCAAAGACTTCCACAACGACAATCAACTCCATTGATGTTATCTCCGAAGAAATTGTCAATGACACAATCATTGGTCAGCAGTTTTTTGTTTATTGTAAAAATCATACGTTTCTTTTCTTATGTGAAATTTCTAGAAATTTCCATCTTTATTTTGTTCCAAATTCAGTCAAGATTTAAAATATTGCACAAAGTTCAATATTCTTCGTATTTTTTGTTCGAAAAATATAAAAGGTTCAATTTTCGTTATACTTTCAGAAGATGAATCAATGGCTGAACCAAAAGATAGTGACCAAACGGGTGAAGAAATGGATATTGAAAAACCTACGACGCCACCGCAGCCACCAAAGCCATTGACGCGAAGTGGCAATTTCGTGGTGTTGAACAAACACAATATGAGCCAATTCAAAAAGGTCAAGTGTATTCCAGCTTCAAAAATACGGAAAGTCGTTTTTCCACGTGGAAACATTCGTTGTTTCAATGCATCGGGACGATTGTCTTCGATCGATTCCAAGCCACGCTTCTTGACCAATGCGAAAACGGGTGTACCGAAATTTCAGAATTTCACACGTCTCTTGGCGCTGCAACACAATCAACAATCGCATACAAATGGCGAATCGAAAAGCGGACCCAAAGCTGAAGTGAATGGCCGAACGTCACCACCACCGAAAAGTGGAATTCTCATCAAGCGAAATCACATGAAAAACATCACCGTTCGCAAAGTGAATGTCGTGCAATCGAGCGCAAAAAAAGGAAATGCAGTTTTAAATGGTTCCATCGATTCGACGGTGAAAAATAATATCAAAGATAATTCGATCGCCAGTCTGGTCGCAGACCTTGAAGATTGAATCATTTTCACGTACTTTTTGATTTAATTAGTTCTAGTAGACTGTAGAGAAACTACGTTTAACTAAAGCAATCTTCTTTTTTCGTCTTTTTTTCGTTTCTTTTTGAATGAAATTTGAATTAAGAACCTAAACCTATTATATCATTATTGAAAAATAAAACAAAACCATATTTTTCCAAACTAATAAGGATTTTACATTTTTTTTTCTCGGGACATTTATTTCACGCAGTTTTCAAGGTTTTTCCCTATTTTTTTTTTCATCTAAATTTGGTGTTTGAAAAAAATAAATAAAAGAAACGGTCCGTTTAATTTTTGAAAACTGACCGTTTGCTTCAAATGTCAATGTGTGAATATGCTGTGAGTTGAATAGAAGCTCCACCTGATATCAAATTTCATAAAACTGCACTTTGACAGATCTCTTCAAAACAAAATCTACTTGACACATTGTAAACAAAACACGGAGATGAATAAATTTTTTGTTGAATTTGCGAATTTTAACTGAACGACAGAAAATTACAGCGATGAAAGTGAAGAAGGAGCCAGATCGTTGTCGTTTGTGTTATACACAAGTCGTAGAATACTTTGATATATTCGAGAATTCTGCACAGGTACCGAATATAGTTGACACGCTGAAGCAGTATTTTGACGATGAGGTAAGCCATTCAACTCGATAAAACCGGTACATTTCGACAATTGTCTAAAATCAGGTGAAAACAACTCTAAATAATTGAAGGTCAACGACTCGGACATTTTGCCAAAAGTAATTTGCATCGAATGTTGGGACAAAGTTGAAGCGTTCCGAAAGTTTTCCGAAGTGGTTATCGCATTTCGTGCCGAATATCTACGACAACATCTCAACAATGCGGTCAAAGATGAAAATGATGCAGGTAGTTTACTTCGTTTTCTTGTCATTTGTCACACGTGTAGTCCATGATTTGTGTAAATATTCTAGAATATATGATTCCGAATATTGAGGAAAGAATTCACCGAGAAATAGTTTGCGTCGACCCATTGAGGCCTATCAAAGTGATGATGGATGAAGGAGATGAGAATATGGAATTAGAAGAAAGCAAACTTCATTATGGGTCAGGGAATGAACAGGGATTCTCAGATGTTAATGAAGTTTATGATGAACTGATCGATCGCAATGGGCTACTAGAGAGTGGTGAAGGCATTCGACTTCCACGGCACATCAGTGAAGTTAGCCCCGAGCAACAACAGCAAATTATTGACCAATACTTTGACATGAATTGCGATTTCTGTGATGTCACTTTCGGAAAATTCGAAGAAGCCATCCAACATTATAAAGTGAAGCATAACAATCGGCCCAAAGGCTATGTAAAATGTTGTTCGCTGAAATGGTCACAGAATTCTCACTTGAATGCCCATATTGTGTGGCATTTGAATCCTGAATTGTTCAAGTGAGTGAACACAAACATTAGATTATTTAGGAGTAAAGTTTTAAAGAAAAATTAGTTAGTCTTTGACAAAACATAAGAATTGATAAAAAGAAATAATGTTTACTGTCAAAAAACAGATGCCAGATTTGTGGACAAGTAAAGAAAACTTATCAATCTTATCAACAACACAAACTCAAACATTTCAATCAATTCACGTGTGACATTTGCCAGAAGGTATTCACTGTATTCAGCACCTTAGAACGTCATATTCTTGAAGTACATGCAACCAAAGTGGAATTCCCATGCGATCAATGCGACCAGAGGTAAGTCAGTGCTATCTTTCAATATGAAATAAAGTCATAATCTTAGTTTTTCTTTAAAGATTCAAGACTCGAAAGCATTTGGAAATTCATCTGGAAGTGAATCATTCGAAAGGCTTAGAAGGTAAATAATATAAGTTCGTGTCGGATGTTGAACAGTCCTGTGGATATTCTCGGTATAAATTTCATTGCAGATTATATAAAAGAAATAAAATGTATGGAGTTCAATAACAGCGATGTACATGTTATGAACATTATGGAGGAATATTTCGACAGGAAATGTGATCTCTGTGATACTGTGCTTGAAACATTCAAATTTGCAAAATCACATTATTCATCGGAACATAATATTCACAATCCTTATATGAAGTGTTGCGGCATTAAATTACACAATAATTCGCAAGTTTTGGATCATATTCAATGGCACATCGATCCAAACACTTTCAGGTTCAGCTTAAATGCACAATATGTTGTATAATATACCGAGTTTTTTTTTCTTCTCAATTTTTCAGATGTCGAGTATGCAAGCTAAAACACAAGCATCGATATACCCTCATTGATCACGTGAAACGGCATAATGCTTTGTCAGCAAAGCAATTCGCTTGCAAAATTTGCGATCGATACTATGCGACCAACGCACAGCACAGAACTCATATGGAACTCAAACATCCAGGAATACAACTGAGTTCTTCATCGGTTGAATCTAATTCTAAAGGGGACAATAACATAGAGATACCGGACTATGTCGATGCTTCGTGCGATATGTGTCCAGCAACAACGTTTATTACATTCAAAGAAATGCAATCACATTATTCAGAAACTCACAAATCGGTCGGTTCGGTGTCATGCTGCCAGAAGAAGTATTTGCAACTAAGTCGTTTCAGTGATCACATTGCATGGCACACAAATCCGGATACTTTCAAGTAATTTCAAAACATCTTTGCAATTTATTTGAGTTTTCCCAAATTCAACCGAAACTCTAGCAATTCGAATAATTTATTGCTCATTCAATGATTCAAAACAGATGTGATGTTTGTAACAAATCGCTTCCGAACCGATACATTTTAAAACAACACAATGATTGGCATTCAAATAAGTATTATTGCCACACGTGTCAGAAGTCCTTTCCACGTAGAAATCTATTGAGAAACCATTTGGAAAAACACAAAAATCGTAATCGTGAAAAACAACGCAATTTTATTTGCGATATGTGCGACAAAAGGTGATTATAATGTATACATTAGAGTGTTCAGCTAATCTGAAAAAAAAGAATGAATAGCATAAATTTAAAGAGAAGCCAATTTTATGTCAACTGGTTGCATTAATAGAGCGTTATACAACACTTCCAGAAGAAAAAAAAACTCTTTGCAAAATCGAATAATGCTTACCTAAACGACCCACTAGAGTACTCCTGCGCAGTTAACATCAACCAGATGGGGAGTCAACTTGCTTCAACGCAACTATCCCACATGATCGGGATAGCCTTTAATAACTAATGTTACATTTGTTTTTTTTTGTTTGCAATGTGCTGATTAGACAGCATGATCAGCTGGCTGCTGGTCGTACTCGAACATTTCTACATCATTATCCACGATGGCGGCAGCAGCAGCGGCTGCTTCAGCGGTTGCTCTAGCGGCAGCAGCAGCGGCAACAGCAGCGGCTGCTTCAGCAGCTTCGCGCCAATACCTATTGATCGCCTCTGGTATCGGAAGTCCCAGTAATGTCCATAGTCCTGAACAATTAAACAAATGAACCTTCTTAAAAAATCATTCAATCGAAATTGTGCGTCAATTAGTCTTACCTTTCAGTAGAATGTTCTTAGCAGCCACGACGTCACGATGCCAAATCACAGAGCATTCGAGGTTTAATCGCCAGTTTTTGTAGTAACATTTTACTTTTGGGAATAAACGCTCGTCTCCTACCAATGCTTCTTCGTTCATGGCGCGTTGCAACTGTCGGTAGATCGATAGATCCGTTTTGCCCAACTTTGACACAATTTTCGTTGGCAGCAATGTTCTGGCGTCGGGTACGCATCGGCATTTCTTGAATCTGGCCGCTTTGTTCTGGTTTTGGAATCGATTCATACATCTTGCGTCGGTTTGAGATGTTCCCCATTCGTCCACCAATTGTATGAAACAATCTCGGCGCTTCTTTATTGACCTCAAAGTCAAACGAACCCCTGGGCAGCGCACGTGCTTCTTGATACTTATTGGGCTATCAGGTGGTATTTCGCCATCAGCACCAAAAAAGAACAGAGTCGGTTTCTTATCGGTCACCTTATTCACCCATTCGTCGACAACACTACTGCTCTTGATGTGTTTGTCCAAGGCGAGTCGAGTGTATTTGGCAGTCGAGTAAGCGCAGATTCCATGCTTCATCATCTTGACTCGGTGTTTGATGTAGTTCAGCCACATTGACCCTTTTGGCGACGGCATCACTGGATACAGATCACGGTTTTCTCTGTCTGCGCGCTCCATTTCGACGAAATTTTTGGTCCATCGCGCTGCTTTGGCATTTCGCACCTTTTGACCTGTTTGCCAGTGGAATTGCTTGCTCGACATTACAAAGTTGGTCTGAAAAAATAAATAGAAAAAAAGGTATAGTTATTGAGTTTTGGCACTTAAGTATTTTCTATTAAAATACACACAACTTATTCAAATGTATACAAAACTTACTTCTTTGCCAGTTTCAATGTCGTGTGTTGTTGTGGTATTCCAACTTCGCACACCTGTATCAACGCCCGAAAAATTTTTGATTGTGCCATCCTCAATCTTCTGAATGATGCGAGATTTTTGGTCGATTTCTTTGTTGGCTGTCTTCTTTTTGGCCGAGTACTGGAGAGACACAGAGATTCCATCGGTGTTTATGGAATAGTCAAACTGCTTTTTGGCACGCACGAATCGTCGAATTTTTCGCATGTAAAAATACTGATTCCACCAATAATCTCTCGAATGATTGAAATCCTTTTGTTGAATCGTTTTCGTGCTTGTTGTTCCTTTTTTATTCTCGATTTCCACTTTCGGTAGCAATTTTTGCGAAGACAACACCTGGTGCATGGATGAACAATCGATTTTGAAGTGCGTACGCCGGAAATCACACATCGGCACCACTACTAAATTTCGAATCAATGGCCGAAAATCTGGGTTGTCGAGCATTTGGCTGCGCTTGCGTTTCCATTTTCCTTTTGTCTTTTTTCGCTTTCTTTTCTTGCGTTTGGGTCGGCACTGATGTGGCCACTCCGAATTGTACTCTTCTATCTCGCGCTGCATGGATAGGTACATTGGCATGGCCTTATACCAATGTTTTGGGTCAGTTGTAAGGTCATGCAGATCGATTTCTGGGAACACATTGCAATCTCTCACGATATCATACAAAACCTCACACCGTACGAGTTTGTTTGGATCGCGAATTGGCACTTTGATGTCTTTTTGTTTGATGATCAGATTCACAACACTTGCGATGTCACTTGGCAAAAATTTCTCTCCATCCTCTTCCAAGTTTGAGCTCAATTCGAACACTTTCAGTTTCAAGTACTGGGTGATGTGTTTGTTAGCATGCGTTTCAAGATTGGTGACGACGTTATCTGTGTACTGATTGGTCAAATGCTTAAGGCCATTGCAGAAATCTTTGTTGTTGGGCCAATCGATACGATGATAGTCGTCGAGACCTTCGACAATTGCTTTGAATTCAGGATCGATACGTGGCAGCTCTGCTCGTGGTCCCCGTGGATTTGTTCCGCTTGGTTTATACCTTGACTTCGGTTTTGGTGGCTGATTGTTGTGCCATAGCACTTGTTCAAAGCAGAGTTTGATCTTATCTTCTCCACTTCCACCAAACAATGCGAAATTATTGTTCTCGACGCCTATATTCGAACGCCTTTTGCACCTCAAACAAGAACAGCAATGAGCCCAAAACACAAATGGAAGTGGCTTGCAAACTCAGATCCGTTATTTTGCTCATCAATGCTTGCTGGTATTGTGGGCGAATGATTGTCTTTAGCGCACATTTGATCGTCGTAATTTCATCTTTCGTCTCTCCCTCCGCTGGTATTGATGGCTTGAAACGATTCGCCATTGTCCTACTGAAAGAAAAAAAACACACATTCGATTTAGTTTGAAAATGACAACAGAATGAGACACACAAAAATGACTTCGGTTTGATAACAATGGCATTGATTCAATTTGAGTTCGAACAGTAATCGATTAACTGTTTCTCTTCTCCGAACAATGGACTCAATTCATTGCATAAAATGAATTTCACCATCACACGTATTTCACCATCACACGTAACAGAACTATGTACTGCAGAATTATTGTGAAATTCATTACTTTTTTTCATGGAATCTAATATTACTGTTGACAATTTAAGCTACAAAGAGTCAATTAGCACTAACACATAAAAACGGTTATATTTCGGTGAAATTCCAAATTTATTAGCAATGAAGGACGATTTATTGTTTGATTCCGATTTTTTGGGCCGAAATCTACGTAGAAATCATATATTCTTATTTGACTCCCCAAACCTGAACACTGTAATATACATACATTTCAGATTATCATGAATAAAATGATCAGAAAATGTGCTTATCATCCCAAATAGATTCCCTAGCCAAAATCATCTAAATATCCATCGTAAAAGACACGATCTAAGGGATGATCAAATTTGTGAGTTCTGTGCAAAGGTAAGACGAATTCAAATCGGTCGGAAGAGTGCATTCCAACGGTTTTGATTGGTTTTAATATTTCACTTTCCGTTTAAGAAATTCAAAACAAAAGCGGAACTGAAACTCCATCAGGCGAAACATCTAGATGTTGCCCCAAAAACAAATCCAAAATTCCAGTGTGATATATGCAATGGTTGGTATGCGAGCAAGAGTGTTTTGAAAACACATAAAATGAAACATAATCCAGATCCACAAAAATGCAATCAATGTGATAAGGTTTGCCCCAATTCAGCTGCCTTAGACCAACATGTACGGAGGAATCATAGTGGTACGATATTCAACTGTCATTTATGCGAGAAATCATTCAAGTCACAAGTAACACTCAAGGTGGGTATTTTCATACCACATCTTCCTTCAACGTTATGTCAAATAGAAAGCCTGATTTCTT